GCGCTACAGTAACGGCTTTGAAGTTGCTTGATCTCCTGATTAAAGGCTTTTGAGACGCGATTTGGGCCGAATGACTTGGGATGCTCTAATCATAGAATTAGCTACTCAGATGCTCCCCAGGAAGTTGCGATCATTGAGTACAGTTGATGGAGGGTGAGTGGAAGGTCTTTCCAAGTGTTTCCACGTGCGGCCCTGGCTCCATAGAGCCAAAGAGCCAAATCAATCGACAAACAAGATCAAACGAGGATCATGTCGATGGTCGAGTGACCAGAGTGGATGTCAGAGGTTTCAATTCCAAAGCATTGAAGCATTGCTCCGTCTCCAACGACGTCTCGGAGCCAATTGACCTTTCTTTGATGCACCACTTACACTTGGGAAGGCCATGTTCGGCAGAATGTGTCTCATTTGATCCTTTCAGCTCAAGGGTTTCAGATGGTACTTGACCTCTTCCTGGAGTGACTCCGTGAACCTGGGGTGACGTCCGGCGACATCCCATGCAATCCCGGTCCCCTCAGGAGACCCGAAAGAACATGACGGACTTCGAGCGCTTCAAGGCGCAGAAGCATTTTTGTTTGCATCTACTTGCATCGATCTGGAGACCGGTCTCCCGTCTCAAGGCATCGGTGTCTTGGCATGGCATCCAAAGAGGATGGGGCCCCTGTAGTCACTATATGTCACGATTGTCTTCTTTTTCCATGTCATGTGCTCTATCCGATCCTCACGTGGCTTGGGAAGCGACCTGTTGAGACCTTCCATGCCTTCCCCAGCTCTGATTCCCAGCTCTCCTCGCAGGTCATGGCGGCGAAGCAGAAGCGATCCAAGGAGGTGAAGAAGGCAGATCCGCTCCGCGCACGCTCCGCGCGTGCGAAGCGATGGGGGAACGGGAGCTGGGTGCTGGGAACGGGAGGTTTTTTGGGGGATGGAACGAGAGGATGTGGAAAATGGATGTGACACGTGTGTGGAAGATGCAGATATTCTAGTCCCTTCACTTGCCAGTGGGTCACAAAAACGTGAGCTTCGGCAAGTCACTCAATCTGCAGGCTTGGATTGTTTCCGAAGTCAACTGGCAATCGGATTCTGAGGATCTACCTCAGCCATACTTTTTGGGAGCTCGGTCTTGATTTAGTATCCAAAATTTGGGCCATGGGGCTGATCTGCTTGATAGCTTGAAGATCTTCGGCTTTTTCTGGAGGTGTTTTCAAGCCTTCATCTGCGATTTTTTGGTGTTTCCAAGGATCCAGCAGGTGTTTCAACATCTCACCGACTCGACTCGTGTTTTCTGAGGCCCTCAAGAAGAAGTGAAGCCCAGCCTGAAAGGACCCAGGCCTCGCCGCTCTCCGAGCGAGGGAGGTTTGGTCGAAGCTGGACGGGCTGGACGACCAACCCGTCGTGAGCACTCCGACAGGGGGCAATTGCCATGGACAACACATGCAAAACATGCATCCCATTTCATGGACATCGACAACTACTGTTGACCGTCGTTCACTTCGATGCGATTGAGTCAGAGTGTACTTCAGAAACCATTGCACAGACCTGGTCTGGCTAAGCCTTTTTGCGGCTTGCTGGCTTCGTCCTGCTAAAATTGGTGGTGCCCATGGCTTCGTCCATTGACTCGTGGAGCACCACATGCTTCGTCCCAGAAGACCTTGACACAACATGACAACAACGCTGGTTGTCCATAGATGGCCTGGCTCAACATTTGGTTGGCTGTATAATAGAGGGAATACCCCCTATAGGTCGTGTACAACCAAGTTCGGTCGGACTCTCACTGGTCGGACAGACAGTCTGAGTCTCCAAAGCTGGTGGGCCTTAGACCCAGCGCAATGGGTCTTGCAATGGTAGGTGATCCAAGAGTAAAACAGTGCAATCCACAACGTCGTGAGGAATCTGGGCCCTGATGGTGGTAGATCGAGCTTGGGCTCGGTGTAGCGGTTTCCACCGAAATCAGAGCTGGTTTCAATCAGCCGATTTCCTGCGAAGGCGGCGCTACCACACCATACTCACCAAGATTGGATGTCAAACTTCTTGTGCAGCTTCTGTGGCCACGAAGAATGATCTCAGAGTGCAGCCCCAGGGTGCTGTTGTGAGGGGTAAACCCTGGGCAAATCAGCTACCATCAGCTTTGCCAAGCCAAAGTTGTGAGACTTCCCAAAGCATAGAACCTTAAGATGACCGCCTAGAAGTATGCAAATATCTACACGTCATTACACGTCTAGGCCTATAGACTATAGACAATACAAACATCTACACTCTCCAGGTCAGATTCGTTGCTTTTCTCTGTTCCCTCGTCTGCCCAGCTCCATCTGTCTCACCGCGCCGCCAGGCCGAGATAGCGATGCCGGACGGCGCGGAAGAATCGAAGAGCCAAAAGGGTCGTTTTGACATGCTGTGCCACGGGTTGAGGTCGTCTGCTCTGTGGGTCAGCCAGTTCTGTAGGTGGGAAGGCGGGTTTGGGCGGGGACCAGAACCACATTTTTGGGGGCGGGGGGTGTCCCTGCTCGAAACCAACAGACAAACAAAGACTCCCCATGTCGGACCACATCCGCTCGAAAGTCTCCCTGCGAGTCGACTTCGTCGACTTCGACGACCCTTCGGGACGGCTCGGCCCCGTGTTCGGACGACGCGGGAGCTGAGCCTTGCGAGGACACCGCTGTGGCGCAGTGGCTGGAAACGGAAGATGCCAAGATTAGGAGCGGTTTCCGGGGTGCCGCGGATGTGTTTGTCCTATGGGTCTCGGTCTCAGTGCTTTGGCGCTTGCCTTGCTTTTCTTCTTTTCACATCAGAATTAAAAGATGGTTATTGGATGATGTTTCATGTGTGACATTGAAGGTACAAGGTCCCTGGGTGTTTGGGTGCTTAAGCCTGGGTGCCTTGACACACATCCGGGCTTGCGTTCGAGGGTTGTGGGCTGGGCTTGACATCAGGCTTCGCAAGAGCCACTCTGTGTGCCAAAAGCCACTCTTTTGGCTTCGCTTCTTTTCTCACACAACTTTTGTGTGAAGAAAGGGGAAAACGGTGAGGTGTGAGGTGTTATTCCTACACCAGCCATATATACATAGATATATAATATATATATAGACTTGCCACAACCATCTACACACAAACAAAAAGGTTCTCGCTCCGTGGGGAGGATCTTTCAGCTAACTCGTGAGAGTGAGACAGATCTTCCCACAGATGACTGCCTGGTGAGCACACCGGCAAGAACAGGTGATAAACCAGTGACCTCGAACTGATTCCTGCGCGAAAATAACTCGACTCTGAGACTGGTCTCTTCAAGTGGTGCTTGTGGTGATTGGCATCCGAGCCAGACTCCAGCTTCGAGAGGATTAGGTCAAGGAGCCAATCTGTGAGCGAGGCTCTGTGTAGAGTTGTATAGTGGCAACATCTTTGCACCTTCACACTCCCCACTTCCACGAGCCATCCCTGAATAGAAACGAGTGTAAAAGTCACTAACAAACAGAGGATTTCACTCCTCAAGCACAGCATTTGACCTCAGCCGCTTAATGTCATGGATCATTCATGAATCATGAACGCAGACACAACTGAACGATCCTCCATCCTTCCATCCGACATAGCAAGAAAAATAAATCATACCTCTAGAGCCATGTAGAGGAAGAAAGTCCTGTTCATGTTGGATGAACAGAGCTTCGCCGCTGTTTTACACGGAGACGCAGGGCGCAATCTTGGAGTCTCAAGACCACCTTGGATGAGCTCGTGGATGACGGGGTGCAGGTGGATGACGGGGTTTTCAGCTGAACAGGTGCTGGGCCAATCATAGACATAGATGAGAGCTTGTTGGATGCGTTTGATAAACCTATAGGAGTGCAAGTGTGTTGCCGAACAGATCCACAGCATGGTCACGATGTTTGTGCAAAGATGGATGCTGAAGAGTGCTGGATTCACCAGAGGTTGACCTGGCTTTTGAACCACAGCGATGTCTCCTCGGCCCCGGCAGCACTTGCAACTTCGAGACTGGATTCGGCGAGAATACTTCGCTGGCAGGCGGCCCTCGGGCGGCAGGGCGGCAGGGGAATCTGGGACAACACTGGTCAAACTTCGCAAGAAAGCGCCCCTACCTGCATCTCGCGCCCCTAAGTGCTCGGGATAGTCCAGATGACGCGGGGGGTCTGTTTGTTTCTTCGCCGTTTGCAAGCAAGGAGTGAAGTAGCTGTCCAACTAGCTGTTCACTTTGAGCTCCTTGCAGGCCCATGTTGCCGCTGCGGGTGATCCAGAGGCGCACTTTGAACTGCGTGTCATCATGAGTTCTGACTGTTGGATCTATTTGGTACCAACAGCTACGGCACATCGCAGGTGATATATATAATATATATATATATATGTTCGGGTCACCATCATAAAGGTGTCCATCCACAGCTGAATGATGGAGACCATCGTGCATGTACATGATCCCTGGTCAAGGAAAGAAACCATTTCAGATCACCTGGTCGAGGACCAAACCATTTGCCGACCCGCAGTCCAAAGAGGGGGTAGTTCTTCTCTATTGTGAAAGACTGAGGTGCTCATGGATGAGGCATGATTTGTCTCCACCGTGGCCGTACCGGCCCAACCTGTTTGGCCTCGACCTAGGCCTTAAGCCATGCTACGCCCTTGACGGAAAACTGGCGATTGATTGTGTTGCACGTTGTTTCTTCGCTATCATAGCCTGGCCTTCCACAGTGGTTACGCGGAGCCTCTTTGCTTTCTAGTGCCTTTGGATTTGCTGCAGAGCCCGTGTTTTCCTGCGACTTGGCCTGTTTTCGGAGCTTCCGACACGCGTTGTGAGTTTTGGAACCCTGCCAACGTTTTTCACCCTGTGCCGAACTCCGGCACCTTTTTGCTTGTTTCTTGGCCACCGACTTTGACTTTGAGCTGAACCTTTTGACTTCGAGTACCTCCAAGAGGCATGTCTGGTTCAGGCGGTGGCGATGAGAAGGGCGCATGGTACCAGGTACCCGTTTGGGATGGCTCCCCCCCTCACGTGGAGATCCTTTAGACGGGAGATGAACTGGTGGGTAAGCAGTTTGGATTTGCAAGCCACTTCAAAATATAATCTGGCGGCACGCTGGTTGCTTCGACAGACTGGCATTGTACGTCAGCGTGGGGAAGAGTTCAATCCCGATGACCTCAAGCACAAACCAGCAGAGATTTACGAAGATCCTGTTTCTGGAGAAACCATTGAGGTCACCCCACCAGATTATTTGTATGGTTTGAACCGTTTGTTGGACGCCCTTGAAGGGATCAATGGACAATCCTTGTTGGACAAGCGGGGCGAGTTGAGGAACCAGTTTTATTTGGAGTTGAAGCGGACTCCAGGTGAGCGAGTTGCCGAGTTCTGTACTAGGTTCAGGACTCTCTCGGCCGACCTTGCTGCTGAAGGAGTTCAGATCCAGGCCACGGAGTTGGGTTGGTTTCTTCGTCAGAAGCTTGGCCTGGACAGCTTGCGACAACAGTTGCTCGAGACTGCATTAGCCGGTCGAGAGGAGTATGGTGTTGTGGAGGCTGAATGCCTTAGGCTGTTCAAGGATCTTCACCAAAATGACCCTCTTCGTCGCTTCGATCGTACAGGTGATCGTCCAAGGCTGACCATTCGCAGGTTGTTTCAGTCCCAACAGTCGAAAACCCCTTCATCTTCGGCATCCACCATCAGCAGATCGCCTTCGATGTTTTCGGCGGCGACTTCTAACCGATCGTCTTCAGCCTCGAGCAATCGCCGGGCCTACGTGACTGAGGTTGCGGACGGTGAGGAGGCACCGGCTGAGGAGGTCCTGGAGACCGTGATGGAAGAACATCCGCCCGAGATGGGCGAACAGTCCCTCGAAGAGGTGATTCAATCGGAAGCAGAATGCCTTGCGACCGAGTTGCAAGAGGCTGAGGAGCAAGGCATAGACCCTTCGGTTTTGGAGGACATGGAGCAGAGTTTTGAGCAGGCCGCCGAGGCCCTTGTGACCATGAAGGAGGCGAAGTCACGCCTTCAGGAAGTGCGGAAAGATCGCGGCTTTGGAAAGCCTGGATCGGCCGGTGGTGGCCGCAACAACACTGGGGTGCCTGCTGCCCGAAAGGCATCTGGAAAGCATCCATGCTTTGATTGCAACCAGCATGGACACTGGGCTGGAGACAAAGAATGCCCCAAGCCTGGAGCTGGTTTAGGCCGAAAAGGCCCTGCTGTCGCTGCCGCCAAAGCAAAAGGTCGGCACGTGCGCTTGACGGAGGCTTTCCAAGCTGAACATGTTGTTGAGCCCACTTCATCACCACCTCCTTCGAGTACATCCCCACTTCCAGAGTCCCAAGGTTCCATGCATGAGGTGAACATGGTTTTGCATAGCACCACCCCTTTGCCTTTGGACCGTGCTCTTGAGCAGTCAATGGCGAGTGCATTGAATTCCACTTTGATTTCAACCTCTGCACCGCAGGGGCTGGCTGAAGAAAAGCATCTTGTGGGAGCCCTAGACAGCGCTTGCAACCGAAGCTGTGCGGGGCCTGTTTGGGTGGAGTCCTATTTGAAACAGATTGAGTTGGCACCTCCTTTCATTCGTGACCTTTTGCAAAGTGTCAGTGAGTCAGAGCGATTCAAATTTGGGCATGGAGGTTTGGCCATCAGCCCAAAGCGTTGGCGACTACCGGCATGCGTCGGAGGCCGCGTTCTCTTGATCTGGATCAATGAGGTTCCCATCCCCTCATTAGGATGTCTCCTTGGTCGGGATGTTCTTGATGCCCTTGGTGCTGTTCTTGATTTTGGTCAGCGAACCCTGCAGTGTACCACCTTGTTTGAAGACCCTCACCGCAGGTTGGAATTGAAGCAGATGGCAGCTGGTCACTTCATGTTGGAGCTTTTGCCGGAAGAGTGGCCGAGGCTCGGATCGTCCAAGTGGCGCCGTTGCGGTTTGGACGGTGTGATCGAGCTTCAACTCACACCACGGTCATGGCTAGATCGGAGAGTAGCTGAAGGTTCTTTTCCACTTCACCCTAGTCATGATCACATGTTGACTGAAGTCAGTCTAGCAGCTGGGCAGAGTTCACTTCGTTGGCATGAGTTGTTGATGGTTGGTGCATTGCCTTCCTTGGCTCATAGCGCTATGACCGAGCTCGCATGGTCGTTGCACCTTCGTCGACTTCTTGACCTACCAGATCGCCTACTTGCTGGACGACTTCGAGTACCTGAACATGGAGACCTCACCTCCGACATCGACCAATCCGCAGAAGATGCCAAAGTCCGGCCCCTTGGAGCCGTTGACGCCGTCGTTGGTGAAGGCCTTCAAGCAGGAGCATCCTCGGGGCTTCGTGCCCTACCGGTGGAACCGCTTTGCACTGCGGTTGATGAGCCGCAATGCATGGCATGCCCAGAGCATCCTCATCCAGTTCGCTTCAAGATCGCATTTGCGCTTCTTGCCCTTTCCTTATCCCTCTGTTGGTTCTGTGGAGCAATGGTTGCTTCAGGCGCAGTCCATGGTCAACATGAATACATTGAACCGGCGTCATCATCACCTGGCCTTGGAAGCCGGGAGCTACACTGCCGAGAACCTGATGGAGCTTGGACGTCTGAGGGATCGTTGTGGCTGGAAGACTGCATTCCTGGAGGATGGATTGCTCGCTGGCTTCATCGCTGCCCGTGCTCAGAAGGGACAGCGCGACAGGTTGAGAGCCGCTGCGTTGGAAGAGACCAAGGCCCGGGTGGCCAAGGAGTCGGCGGAGATGGACCGCGAGATCATGGCGCGGCAGCTTCTTGGACCTCGCGGTGGACTACCTTCCTTGCGCAGCGACTTGGTGAAGTTGGCGCTCTTGCTCAACTTAGACCCTGGGCCAAAGGAGACCGTGCCCCAGTTGCAGGCTCGGATTCGTCCCTTGGTCGACCTCCTCAAGAACAAGGCACCGCCTTCGAAGAGCGAGCAACTTCGCGTGGAGCGATTGGACCCTCTGGCATCGAAGACACCCACGTCGTCTACATGGTCAGCCGTGTCGGCAATGTCAGCCCCGAAGGGAGCGATGGAGCGCCAAGAGGAAGGGTGTCCTTTCTCCCTCGAGTTGCACAACATGGAGCTTCGCGTCCAAGAGGCCATGAAGGCTCAGGACAGTCGGTTTCAGGCAATGTTGGGACAAGTGCTTCAAGCAGTCAGCCAAGGACCACAGTTGGCAGCGACTTCAGGAGCTTATCCCCTGCCGTCGGAGATGGGACCGGCAGGAGCCGGCGAGATGGCCGTGGACCTCACCAAGGACTGAACACTCTTCAGGAGGACTTTAAGCTTCACGGCAAGTTCAAGAAGGGCATCAGTCAAATGATTTCGCAAGCTTGGCATCAACACCGACGTGACCAACTTGCTTTGTCCGTTGGTTCCAAGGAGATCCAGGATGTCTACATGGCTACATGGGATGCTGAGATGCGCGAGGCCATGAACGAGACCTTCGCCGTTGAGTTTGACCTGACTTCCACCTTCTTGACTGAGGTCTACACGGACACGGAGCCTGTTGCTCAAGCGACACGTCGTCGCGGACTCATCGCTGGTGAGAGCCTCACCTTGGGCACTGGTTGGGACTTCCATCGACCAGAACATCGACACGCCGCATTGAAGTTGATCAGACGGCTCAAGCCCTACGTGGTGGTCCTCGCCTTTCCTTGCAGTGCTTGGTCGCAGCTCTTGGCTTTGAACTCCTCCGTTGACTTGGATAGGTTGAGAGCTGAGGCATTGGAGCTTGTCGCCTTCGCCATTGAGGTTGCCTTGCTACAACGTCGTGGAGGGCGGCATTACTTGATGGAGAACCCCAAGAGTTCGCTTGCTTGGAAGTTGGACATCATGGAGGAGTTTGTCGTCTCTACTGGCGCCTTGGAGGTGATCGTGGACATGTGCAGGTTTGGCTTGAGAGGACCGGATGGTGATCTTCACAAGAAGTCCACGAAGTTGTTGACCTCTATGCAGGCCCTGGTTTCCTTCTTCCTGGACAAGCGTTGCTTGGGTGGCCATAGGCACACTCCTGTGATTGGTGGCAAGAAAGTGACCGCCGCAGCTGGACATTACACCAAAGCCTTTGCCGAGGCAGTTGTTGAAGCCTGCTTGCAGCAGTTTGACTTTGAGCGCAACCTCTTCATCAAGGACGACATCTATGAGTCTGAGGTCATGACCATCGAGCACGATGTCCTGGCCACTGGTGATGAGGAGGAAGTCGAATCTGATGCCTCCTTTGAGACTTCCAAGGAGGATGAGGACAAGCCCATTTCAGCAGCTGTGAAGAATGCTGTTTACCGGCTTCATGTGAACACCAGTCACCGGAGCAATCAGCGCCTGGCAAGAGCCTTGTTGATCTGTGGAGCACCCAAAGAAGCAGTCTTGGCGGCAAAGCGCTTGAAGTGCGCTGTTTGCGCTGAAAGGCGCAACCCTAAGCCACGACCTGTTGCTGCACTACCACCTCCTCGCGACGTTGGCCAACAAGTCCACTTGGACCTCGTCATCCTTGAAGATTCCTTGAGGAATCCCTATGTGGTGGCGCACGCAACTGACAATGTGTCTCGCTACCAGGCAGCAAAGGTCTTGAAGGACAAGGCCACCTCCTCGGTCATTCATTTTTTGACTGTTCATTGGATTCCACTACTTGGGAGGCCTCACACCATTGTTGCTGATCAAGGCCGAGAGTTTGTGTCGGCTGAATTTGGAGACTGGTGTGACGCCAATAGCATCTACCTCTACCACATTGGAGTTGGTGCACCTTGGCAAAACGGCATCTGTGAAAGATCAGGTGCAACGCTAAAGGCATTGGTTGGAGCAGCAGTTCAATCGCACGCCATTAGCTCGTTTGAGGAGATGGAGATGACCCTTGGTGAAGCTGTGGCGGCATATAATGCCGATTTGAATGAAGAAGGTGTTGCTCCGATTCAGCTGGTCACCGGCAAGATTCCATCGCCCGGTGGCGATGTGCTGAACAACTTCAATGCTCGACTCAGTGAACACTCTCTCATCGAAGCCAAACCCACCTTGAGCAAATTGCTTGCGATAAGGGAGACAGCTCGTTTGTCTATGATTAGGTTGCGCTACAGCCGCGGACTTCGTCAAGCTGAGTTGGCCAGATCTAGATCGACTACAGCCGAGGATGCACCGCAGCCTGGAGATCTGGTTTTCTTTTGGCGAGCTCAGAAGTACCAGTCCCGCAAGGACATTGGCGCTGGCACCCGCCGTCGCTTGATGCTTCGTCGTTGGCATGGCCCTGGACTCTTGGTGGCTACCGAGGGCAGGCATGGGACAGAGCTTGCTGCAAACTGTTTCATTTCCTTTCGAGGCCAGCTGACAAAATGCCCGTTGGAGCATGTGAGAAAGGCTTCATCACTCGAGAGCATCGCTGCTGGTTCTTGGGAGGCAGCCATCGATGAGGTGATCAACGCAGCTCGACAAGAAGCTCAAGACCGACCTCCAGACGAACTTGAACCTGATGGACCGACTCAGGCAGAGCCTGAACTTTATGCAGGACAACTCCAGCCATCTGAAATTGTGGCAGCATTGCAACCGCCGAGCTCAGCAGCACCCTCGCTTGTTGGCAGGACGGCCCCGCCTTCATTGCTTGAGACCGCTGCTGGTGGCAGCGAGCCGCCGGGAACGGCAGCTCCTGGGACACCGGTCCCGAGCTTGATCCTGGGCGCTTCTCAAGCGAGATCGTCGAGTCCTTTGGCAAGTTCGACTATGCAACGCACTATGGAGCGTGCTCGAGCCTTGGACAGTAAGGCAGTTGAAAGAGGGACAAAACGACCAGCAGATGGTCCACCACCTGGTGCAGAAGAGGTCTTCTCCGACGTCGCTCGTCCATCGTTCGAAGCATTGGAACTCACCCATGCGGAGCTTGAACGCATTGCCGACAACCTGGACGTGCACCCACTGCTCAGGCTTCAGGCAATGGTTGACTGCGATAGACGCTTGGGTGACCTTCAGAGCGAAGATGACCATGGCTCCTGGGATGGCCGATGGTCCTTCCTATGTGAGCATGACTGGCGCTTGTTGGTGCAGCTTGGAGCTCAACTTCCTTCCGGCGGCGCCCACTCCCATGAGATCAATGCCTTGCAAACTGCTCGGAAAGAGTACTGTTGGAGCAAGATGTCTGAGCACCAACGGCAACTTTGGGGAGATGCAGCCGTCGCTGGCTGGAAAGCTTATGTTGACAACTCTGCAGTTGAAGTTCTCTCCATGCCTGAGTCCAACAGAGTTCGCAAGGAGCTTGCCCGTCGCAAAGAGCTTGACAGGATCCTTGTTCCAAGATTTGTCCTGACGGACAAGCATGATGGGCTTCGTACCGAGTCCAACCCACTGCCGGTCAAAGCATCTTCCCGACTGGTAGTGCCTGGATTCAAAGACCGCACCAACCTGGAGGGTCAACTTCGCCGAGACGCACCTACTGGATCCAGATTCGCTCAGCATGTTTTGTTTTGCATAGCTGCACTTCATGGCTCTTGGAACGTCATTTCCAGTGATGTCAAATCTGCATTTTTGAAGGGTGATCCATACATCAACCGGGAGCTGTACATTTGTAACTCCAACACCAAGACTAGCCCTTCGTTGCCCCTACAGCCTGGTCAGCTTTGTCGTGTTTTGAAAGGCATTTTTGGCCTAGCAGACGCACCTAGAGAATGGTGGCTCCGTCTCTCACGATGTTTGCAAGACCATGGATGGTCGAGGACCTTGGTTGATGGCGCCATGTGGTGTCTTTGGGGAGCCGCAGATGATGCAGCAAAAGCAAAAGGGATTCAGCCTCTTGAAGGAATCATCGTGGCCCACGTTGATGACCTCCTCTTCGCTGGGAGCTCCTTGGCTGAAAAATCGCTGAACGAGATTGGATCCGAACTTGGATTTGGGTCACAGGACTTGAATGACTTCACATGGTGCGGCAAACGCATCCGTCGTGCCTTGGATGGAACCATTCGCTTGAGCATGGTGGAGTATCACCAGAATTTGAGTGAGATCAACTTGCAGAAGCACCGCAAGTCTGACCCTAGCACTCCTCTTGATGCTCATGAACATCGCCAACTTCGCGCTGTGTTAGGTGGCCTTCAGTGGCTAGTTGCGCAGCTGAGGTTTGACATGGCCTTTGGAGTCTCAAGCCTACAAGGTGAGAATCCGCCCACCATTGGGACGGTGCTCAGAGCCAACTCGCTGGTGCGTGAGTTCAAGCGGACCGACACCTTCGAGATGATCTTCCGCCCGATCGACTACCGGTCAGCTGGCATTGTTGCGGTTTCTGATGCAGCGCTTGGAAACGTGCAGTTGTCAGGTTCTTCGGAAGGCAGTGCCCTGGAGCGAGTCTATTCACAGGCTTGCTACTTCATCCTCCTGGGCGATGAACAGTTGGTGGATGGGAAACCTGGCAGGTTCAACATCCTAGATGCGAGGTCGCATCGAATCCCTCGCGTGTGTCGGTCGACATACGCTGCCGAGACCTTGGCAGCCGAGGAGGCGCTTGACGCCGGCCAGCTTGGCCGCGGCTTCATTGCCACGATCCTTGGGAAGGACATGCTCGGCACCAAAGCCGACCTTTCCATGAATGCTGTGAAGATGACAGGTGTTGTCGACGCCAAGGACGTCTACGACAAGACCAACAGTGACACGGCATCCTTCGGGTCACAGAAGAGTCTGGCTTTCACCATAGCCTGGCTCCGAAGCCTCCTCCGGCGGCCAAACACTGCCCTGAAATGGACAGCAACGAGCAATATGTTTGCTGACGCTGGAACAAAGCTCATGAGCCTAGACCACATGAGAAAGATCCTCCACGATGGAACTTGGTCAATCTCCTACTGCCCCGAGTTCCAGAAGCAAGTGCACAAGGCTAAGGCAGCCAAGCCTTCGAAGAGCACCACAGCATGCGCTGAGCTCCCCGGAGTACGGTTGTGTGGCGATGACCCTATGTTGCCGCACCTTCTGAGCCTTGGTGAAAAGAGAGGATGGCACCATCAAAGCGGGATGGGCATTCAAGTGGCCTATAATGGCAAGTCCATGCGGACGCCAGAGCCGAGATTCAGTACAGCAGATTTTCCACTTAGGTCAACGTTTGCCAGATTCTCGACAGGAGACCAGCACTTCTGGCATAGGTTGGAAGCTGGAGTGGAGATTTCAAGCCTCCAGAATCAGCATGCGCTGATCGATGTGCCTGCTGGCATCTTGGTGAGTTTCTTTCACCCTCGGAGCACTCAGCCTTTCATGCCGGACTCCATGCCACAAAATAAAATAGGATCAATGTGAAAGACTGAGGTGCTCATGGATGAGGCATGATTTGTCTCCACCGTGGCCGTACCGGCCCAACCTGTTTGGCCTTGACCTAGGCCTTAAGCCATGCTACGCCCTTGACGGAAAACTGGCGATTGATTGTGTTGCACGTTGTTTCTTCGCTATCATAGCCTGGCCTTCCACATCTATCCTATGTGAATGGATGATGATCATGGACCCCTACCCCCCCCCAAGAAAAGGATGTGTCCAACTCGTACCCAGTACCCAGAAATTCTGGGCCATAAACCTATCCCATACACTCCTGAAACCATGGAAGTGGATGGCATGAGTGAATGGCATTTTTTGGATGGCATTTTTTGGATGGCATGAGTGGATGGCATGAGTGCAACGTAGGCCCCTGGATCCCACATGCATTTTTACCTGTTTCCTCGACTTCCGGGTGTGGGGGGGGCTGGGTCTTTCGCGTTGAAAGGGTTGTCCTCGCGCCACCTCCAGGTGTCGCACCTTGCGGGAGCTGGCGGCCAATGTGACCACCATGCCCAGAGACCAAGACGAGACCAGTCGACGAGACCAGTCGACTGGAATGGGGGAGGAATGGGGTAGACTGGAGGCTCATTTGGGTGGTCAGAATTTGGACAGATTCTGGCTCAAGATGATTTCACGCATCTGTGTAGAAGACTGCTGCTTGCGCTGACGACCGTGTGTTTGATACGATTCCAGAGAACCGCGAGACAGTTCCACTCCACAACTGGAGGCAAGGTCCGATCGGCATCGGATGCGACGAACGGAGTGATCGGTTCGCGGCGAAAACGGGGCTGGCATCGCTACGAATTCGGAGCGATCGGACGCTACTAATTAGGGGCTCCTGGCCGTACTACTAGGAGCATCCTTACTACTAGTAACAAGAAGCTACTAGAAGCTACAAGAAGCTACTAGTAACAAGTGCCTTACTAGTAGTAACAAGTGCCTTACTAGTAGTAACAAGAAGCTACTAGTGAGGATGATTGAGGATGGCTCTGTGGGTCAGACTTTCATACCCCGAAAGACCTGGTGGGACTGCCGAGTTAACTCGGTGGTGATTGACACCGGTGTCTTCCCCATTGACGAGCCCCTTCCAAACGGAACATGTCAACATGTCTTGATGATTTGGCTGTATGTCTGTATGCCATCAATGTGATATTCTTTGATATTCTGATATTCTTTGCATTTGATCACTGCCAAGATGAATTCTCCAGATTTGGAACCTACGACCCTGCATCCATCGGCCTCCGACCAACAACAACCAGAGGTCCGACTGCTTTGCCAAGCGCCGAGCACGCACGCGAGTGGGGAGCCCCACGCCCAAGGAGGGCGGTGCGGGTCAGGTTGGAGGATTTACCCTGGTTGGGTCATCTTTAGAGTTGACCCAGGGCAGGTTTTGAGGCATAGATATTACCGGGTAAGTTGTTGTTTCTGAGAGTATTTGTTGGCCGGCCCCTTGCAAGCTCACCTGCAGCATTTGGGTATGCAGGGGCTGGTCAGGGTCATGTGCAAGGGGAATCTTGAAGGTTGCAATGAGGAGGGAGACAGACAGACAGACAGACAGACAGGCAGGCAGACAGACAGACAGACAGACAGAGACAGACAGACCGACCGACCGACGGACGGACGGACAGACGGACAGACAGACAGACAGCCAGCTAGATAGAGAGATAGACAGATAGACAGACAGATAGATGCTTCTCCACCCCAAAAGCCGACCCATTGAGTCTACGGTCCAGATCTGCCTCCTTCGCCCATCCTCAAAAAGGCCCCAAAAGCCTTTGCCCCTCCAAGAAGCCCCTCTCTGCCTCTCTGCCTCTCTGCCCCTCTCGAGGGGCTCGGCCTAGGTCTGGTATCGCTCCACCTTTCGCAACCTTTTGGAGCGACCCGTCCACCAACTCTGCGTGGATCGACTCGTCCGATCCTTTTTTTTAAATCAACTCGTCAAGCGTGGTTTGGTTGGTTTGGGGCGGATTCCCTTCAGGTTTTGGCTTTGGCTAGACGTACGTATCCCATCATATCTCGTCGGAAGATGTTCAGAGCGACTCCTGCTGGTTCAGGCTAGTCATACATAGCGCAGGAAACTCCAAGGTACTTGGCCAGCTGCCTCATTTCTTGCAAATTTCTGACATCGTGGACCAACAGCCTAACATTGATTACCCGTGATGAATTTATTGGGGCCAAGTAAGTTCAGGAAGTAAAGGAGCAAGGCAAGCAAGCAACCTAATCGAACACCCTTAGCTGGTTTGTTAGACAAATAGACAGGTACTAGTCAATCAGGCAGTCAATAAGGTTCTCTCATTGCATAACTCCACACGTTTACAGTGACTGCTAGTTGTATTTGGTAGCCTTTTGTAGGGCCTACCATGCAGATCATCCATGGGCTCATCGGCTATCAAAACAGCCGTCCATGGCTGTTTTCGATCTTCCGCTTCGCGCCGCTTGGCAGCGCCGCTTCCAGGAGCACGTGCCTTCAGACGTCACACGATTTCAACCTTTTGTGGCCAAAGGCGGGCACCGTGGCGCACGTGAGGAAAGAACGACCGTGAAGGACCATGAATCAAGGACCTACATAATATCCAAGGGTGATTTTCTCGTGCCTGTCATCCTGTGATCTTGGGCGGCTGCGAAAGCATATTGGAGGGCAGGCCTGATAGATTTGATAGATAGCTCACTAGATACCTAGACAGATTGGATACAGTAGAATAGATTCAGACAGAGCAAACTGGTTGTTTGTCAAGTGCTTTGTCTTTTTTTGCTCAACATCCAACTTGCATTTGTAAATGCCACGCATCAATAAGCATTTACATGGTTAGAATCGATCCTCTATCTGCTCCACCTTGCCTCTTTTTCTCTGCGTCGGGTCCACCCACCGTTAGGCCTTTGATCGGGCTACGAGAGGAGAGGGAGGGCGGCCGGGCCAACTCCAGGTCTCCAGTTCGTTGGGACAACCAAGCACCTTTCCTTCCTTTCGGCTTCCATCTAAGTCCGGAGCCCCCTTTCTTAAACCGGGCCCCTCCTTAAACCAACGGCCCCCCCCTCTTAAACCGGGCAAGTCGTTGAGGGGTGTGTTCAGGTGTGTTCTCCTTCGTTCATAGACCTGACCTGAACAGAATCGACGTTGGCACAAGAACCGAGTTCCGACCGGGTGGGAACAGGCCGTGGAGGGCGTGAATCGCGTCGTTCGCAGGAGCTGAAGAGCACTTTTGGAGCTCAAAAACCCTCGTCTCACCTGCTTTAGAGCTGCGAGCCGTGTGGATAGCACGTGTTGCGGAAGAAAGAGGAGGTACAACTGTCCTGCAGTACAGAAACGAACAATTCCAAGCACGTGGCCATTTTGCTTGATGTTTGGATTTCTGCGCCACATGTTCTCGATGCAAAGCTGTTTTGATTTGGCTGGATTTGTCTGGTGGGATTCTGAGATAAAAAGGGGTCCAACAGTGTGAATGGGTAAACTGACATGAAGGTTCCTCTACACGAAACTTTGCCTGGAACCCTCCGCAGTATGTGTCTCAGTTCGTGCTTCTAAGTCGAAGCGCTGGCCCTTGACCTTTGGGCTGCGATCTGGGCGAAACTTCATGGAGAACGGGAAAATCGAGGATCCTGAGGCGCCGGAGGCCAAGCCTGAGGAGATTGAAGTGTCGGAGATTTCAGAAGAGGCCTTCTTGGAGACTTGGTGAAATAGAAGGTTGCTGGATTCTTGTTAGGCTGAGCATTGTAGCAGATGTTTCTTTGAAGAACACTTCTTTAGGGGGACTTGATCATTGAGGCTCCAAATCTCCTCGGCTCAAGCTCGCACAGATGCTACCTTGGAACCACCTCGAGAGTGAGAACATGGTCGACATGTTCCTTGCAACGATCTTAAAACCATCCAAAACAAAATCCCGGGTGCAAAAGTGAATCTCTTTGTCAAACACCACCCCCAAGCCTCCGGACTCCAAGGAGCCTTGCGTGCGCGGAAGACTTTGGAAGGAGGCTTTGCTCCTGACGCAGCGACGGGGCCCGGTGGCATTGGCTCTTGGGCACCTAGCGGCAGTGCTGGGTGCGGTGCTATTTCAACTGGAGCTTTTGCCAGGTTTGCAGCGAGGCGTCTTCATGCCACTGAGCTGAATTTGGGGACAGACGGCTTCGCATGGGCTGGAGCTGTTGCATGGCTTTTGTGGGAAGGGACTGGAGATCAGAAACTTCCTTGTTTGGTGGAAGATTTGCCCTGACCTCCACAGATGCTGATGGACTCACGGGGTCTCCCAGCTGTTTTCCATCACCCTTTTCCGGGCCACCGAAACGGCTCTCGGCCGCCGATGCTTTTTCCGAAGTAACCCACTGGCCACTGGGTGACTGTCGACACAGTCGACTCTGTGGGGATCTCTGGCACCAGCTGTAGCTTCTTGTTATATTCGTAGCGATGCCAGGAGCCCTGTTCGTAGCGTCCTTGTTCTTAGTAGTAAGGCCAGGAGCCCCGAACGTAGCATTCTTGCAAGAGTTTTCTTCTCAACGACCTCAGGTCGTTTTCCACATGGTCTTTGGCGTTTGGAGGTGGCGCAGTCGTTCTGGCCCTCTTGATCTCTATTCCATGTGCATCTTCATCTGAGCCTGTAGCTGGGACACAGAGCTCAGTGGCTTCAGAAATCGAGAGATTTTGGCAGCGATGCACAGTATACTTTAAATGAAAACCTCTTTGCAGAGACTTTTCACGGAGGGATCGTCAAGACTTCATTCGGTCCCTACATGACCTATTGGTTGAGTGGTTGGTTCGGCACGTGGGGGAGGGAAGCCTTTGCTGAATGTGCACGAATTGGTATGCAGTTGTTCTTCCTTAACATATTTGGGTGTAGTTTGGCAGGGACATGTTTGTTGACTTGACCTCCAAACAATGAGTACGGCAATGCTTACCTGATGCAGTTCCAAGAAGTTTGAACAATTCACTCTTAGATTTATTTGGTCAAATAAGACCTGATGCAGTTCCAAGTTGTTGGAACAGTTCACTCTTAGATACTCTTAGCTCTGTTTTGGTGAAATCTAATCTTCCAAATCGCCCTGTCGATTTGATCGCATTGTTCCAAACCGATCGCCGAGCGGCAGAGCATCATGTCAAACTGAGGCACCGATCAGGCGTGGCGCGTGGGTGGAGAATGGAGGACGGAGAATGGAGGGTTACCGGGTTACCCCTTCTCCGAGAATGCTGGTTACCCCACAAACCTATAGAAAACGACTTCTACCATGGTTTTCACTCATTTGTGAGCCTTCGCGGATTCCGTGGAGCAATGACCTTGGTGTGTGAAACATCTAGCTCTGCGTCCAAAAGACCAAGAGCTGCGTCCCAAAAGGGACATCAGATAGGCTTGGGAGCTGTGAGAGGCCCCTGGGCTTGTGGAGCTCGAAATGATGCTCTAAGCAGCAGCTTCAAGACCCTTTGTAGGCTGTTGGTTTCCTCGGGTTCGGGCTAAAACGATGGACGATCCATCTCACCAGTTCTACAAAGGGACTCCAGTGTCGAAGTTGGACCTTTGGAATCAAGGCGCTTCGTGGTCACCCCAGAGGTTTTATTCGAACTGGGGGTCAGGTTCGAATTGCTCAGGTCAGGTCCCTGCCGTCCCTACAGTCCCTGCCAGGTCACACTATCGGGCCCTTTGCGCCATCAGCAGCTTTTGCACCATCTTTGCCGGCATGGTGCCCGTGACGGTTGCTCCTGTTGCTGGCCACTTGGAACTGGCTACAGCTGTAACATGCTGTTTTTTGGGGAGCTACGCGGGAAGGAAGCAGGGCCTAGGGTTTTAAGTGTTCCAAGCTAGCTTGAGGAGCCTGTGCTGTGTTCTATAGTTCAATACGTCCCACTACTATTGTATATATCAATAATACAAGATATTGGGTGTGTTCCTGCAAGCAGGGACCTGAGCTTGAATCTCCTTGGTGGCCGTTGGACACAGGGTTTTAAACAACATTTCAATTCTTGTTGTGGTAAGTGAGAAACGAATGTCCAAAGACCACTGGTATTCTGTGTTCAAATGATCAGTGATACGACCGCTAAATCTGCTTCCACAAGTTCCTTGTTGGCCTGTAGTTGCTTCACAAGACCCTCAACAGCTTTTGGGCCTCCATCACCAATGGATCGTTCAAAAGGTGTTCAAAGTCAATAGGCGAGACAAGTGGATCCCCAAACCATGTACTGTCCTGGCTTTGCCGGCATGTTTTTCACAGCAGGCTGCAGGCTAGATTTCTTCCAGCTTCACTCTCAGAGCAAGCTTCGAGTAAGACCCCATGTCAGTGCCCACACCTGAGTTTCAGCCTGAAACCAGCCTGAAACAGTTTGAAACCAGGACCCCATGTCAGTGCCCACACCTGAGTTTCAGCCTGAAACCAGCCTGAAACAGTTTGAAACCAGGACCCCATGTCAGT